GTACACTCTCAACACCCAGGAGGCTGAAGCAGGAGACGACAGGGTCAAGACCAGCCTGGGTTCATGGCACAACCCTGTATCAAAAAACAAGGGCTGTGATGTAACTAACTCATGGGTTACAGCGCTTGCCTACCATACGGAAGGCCACAGGACTGAACTCCAGCGCCCCCTAGTTTAGTTTCAAAGATAACAGAGTCAGTGCTAGAGACAGGGCACTGGCCAAACACAAATGAGAAGGGTCGCATTCAAAAATAATAACAAAGGAGCACAGCATGTCACAGAGTGAGCTGTCCCAGGCCTGAAGGCACACTCCTGCATCAAACCCTGGGGAGGCGGGGAGGGAGGAGCACTGCTTTAAGCTGGAAGCCAACATGTGCTACACAAAAACACTGCTGCATCCCTCCTCGAAAACAAAACAAAACAAGAAAGCAAAACCCTACTACCAAAAACAAACAAACAAACAAAACCCTGTTCTTAGGATGTAGAGGCAAGAGGATTCAAAGTTCAAGGCTATGTTGAGTTACATGACCTTTTCAAGTTCTATGATGGATACAGAAGGGTCTGCCTCACACAATAATAATGAATAAATCAAAGAATAAAATGACAATTTGAAGTCCTAATTTTTTCTTTTTGTTTTTGTTTTGTTGTTTTGTTTTTCACGAGAAGATTTCTCTGCATAGCCTTGGCTATCCTGGAACCTGCTAGACAGACCAGGCTGGACTCAAACTCATAGATCCACCTGCCTCTTCCTCCCAAGTGCTAAGATTAAAGGTGTGTGCACCAGCCCCTGACAAGGCCTTGTGTTTTTGAAAAACCTAATTATAAAATTATTTAAATTACTGAAGCTCTATCAAAATGCCATGAGAGAGCTAAGGCAGTAACTCATACAGTTCCTAGCAACATGAAGCCCAGAGTTTAACACCCAGCACCACAAACACCGGGCTAATGGCTCACATCTGTATTTTCACCATTTAGGAGGGAGGAGGAGGGTCAGAAACTAAAAGGCCAAGAGGGTAAAACAAACAAGAACCATTGTCTTTGGGCTGGAGGACATTAGGGTAGAAACTTCTTACTCTGAAGATCTGCTTTCAGCACCTCTACAAGACTGGCTTACAATAAACCAAAGGTTAAACAGTGCCTTTAAATGCTTCACAAATGTGTGTGGAGGGCTGGAGAGAGGGCTCAGGGCTTAGGAGCACAGCCCACTCTTCCAGAGGACCCAGGGTCAGAGAACAGCATCCACATGGTGACTCACCACAGTGCAGAACTCCAGCTCCAGGGAATCCAACTCCCTTTGCTGGCCTCTGTGGGCACTGCTTTGCACATGGGGCACAGACATACAAGCAGGCCAAACACCATTATACATAAAATGAGACAATAATAATAAAGAGTTTTAACCACAACATGTGTGGCATGTCCTGCAAAAGACACTGCAGAAACTCTGTCCATCTACACGGCTTTTCTTTGGTCTGTGTCCTTACCATGCACATCTTATTTCACCTATGCTTCTCAAAAGCAACTGTCTTGTCTTTCGATAATGCATTCTTTTCATCCTCACAGTAAACTCACTTGTCCTCAGCCTTGGTAAAGATGATCTTATCCCGAGGATTATTTGCCTTCAGTGAACATATTGGAAGAAGCTCTGGATACATGAAAACCTTGTTTGTGGCCAGGATCCAAGCAACTTGCTTTGGCAAACAGGGAAATTCACTGGCTGTTAGAGAAGAAAAAAGAAAAAAAAAAAAAAAATCTGTGATTAGTACAATCCAAGGACCAAAGGGTTTCACAAAAGTGTATAAATCCATTTTTATACAGAACAGAGATCTTCTTCTCTGACTTGACTCCCTCAAGTTTCCAGTCCTTTCTTCCGATTTTTTTTTTAAAGATTTTATTTATTTATCATGTATACAGTGAATGTTTAGCCTGCCCGCCAGAAGAGGGCACCACAACTGTCTGTAATTCAAGTTCCGATGGATCCGACTCCCTCACAAAGATATGCAGGTCAAACACCAATGCATATAAAAATTAACAAAACCAAAAAAAAGGAATTACACATAAAAAAATTATTAAAGACTCGTCTCTTGACTGCAAATCAAAACCTAAAGTTGACTCATTCATTCCTCTCCTACCAGTCTTCTTGACCGTTTTATGAGGAATGCAGTCAACGCTGACATGTGCGAAGTCTTCAATGAGCTGCATAGCTCCCATCCAGTTACAGGGCTGGAACAAGGTCTGAAACTTGGGGTTGAACTGCTGGTGAAGGGCGATGGAGTTCTCTGCAAAGGTTCCCAGCTCTTTCTGAGAATAAAGGACACAAGGGAGATCTGAGAAAATTCCAGACAGCTAATGCCACAGTCCTCAGACTCTAAAGGGAAAAGGGCCCTTCCTGCATAGGATTAGAGGCAGGTAAAAGTCTCTATTAATGGACATCATTCCATTATGACCACTCTGTCTTCATCCCCAGCGATTGGGAACTGGACCTCCATTCATTTGTCACACTTGGGTTTAAAATCACTGAACATTCTGCAGTCTTGCCGACGCATCTTACACTCCCAAGTTAGAATCAAGATTCATCAGCAGAGCTGTTGAGAAGTATGCTCAAAGCCCTGGGTTTTAACCTCAACAAAGAGGTGGGGGAGGGGAGTGGGAGGCAGGGGTGAGTTTGGAGGGGGGTTATATTAGATACACACACACACACACACACACACACACACACACACACACACACACACACACCACCCCAGGCTTTTGAGAGTCTCACTCTGTAGCCCAGGAGAGCCCTGAACTCAGGATCCTCCTTTCTCATTCACCAAAGTACTAGAAATAAAGGGGATTACCACACCCACCTCTGATTGTAAAGAAATATTTTCTGAAAGTCTGGAAAGATGGCTCAGCAGTTAAAAAGTATTTATTGCTCTATACAGGACCCAGGCTCAGTTCCCAGCACCCACAAGGTGGATTACAACCATTAATAAGGCTACTTTTAGGGAGATGTGACACCCTCTTCTGGCCTCCACAATCATCAAGCACACATGTTGCCCATATACATACATGCAGGCAAAACATTCATACACAAAATAAATCTAATTATTTAAAACTTTCTGAAATACGCACCAAAAGAAAATTTTCTCATGGTCCTCCGAATACAGTTAAAAAGTGAACAGACTTTTAGCACCAATAAGTCTGGCATATTCAAACACACCATAGAACAACAAAAGGGCTTCCTCCAGGGCACTCTTACCTGAGAGCCCCTCCCAATAGGGAGTTCCTTCTGACCTCCTGTCACAGATCTACTATTAATTCTACAAGGATGAAAAAGGAGGGGGCGGGGAGAGGTGAAAGGGAGTATGGGAAGGAGGAAGGACCCATCAAAGTTTACAAATCTTTCAAAACACTTAAAAAACATCATAAGCAAAATTAATTCTATACCAAACAAAGCTGAGCCTAACTTGGAGGAGACCCGATCTGGTGTTGGTGTGGGCCCCGATGATCTGTTTATGTCTTTCCTCAGGACAATGAGGTTCCTCTTTGGATTCCTGAATGCTGTGTGTGCCCTGTGGCTGCTGCTGAAGCCCAACATGGCAGAGACTTATTGGGCCTTCGTGAAAAACTCTCCCCTTTTGATGCCAATGGGAATTGAGAGCCCAGTATGGCCTGCCTTGGCAAGCATTAACATAAGCCTAGGAACTGTAGCCATGCAGTCGGATTCTCCAGAAGGTAATGTATGGTAACTGCTTTTTCAAGTATGTTTGAGAACCTGTCACCCAGATACCTTGGAGATTAAGGATAACCCTGAAGGTCAAACTGATCTCCATTTGTTAACAGTAGCATGCCTGATAAGCCTTTTGATTTTCACAATCCTCTTCAAGCTGGTGTAGTACCTACTTTTCAGGAGTGGCTCTGTGCAACATTTATTGGCCTCCTGAAATTCAATTAGGCTCCTTTGAAGATACCTTAAAATTTATGAGCCTGAATGTAGCCATTATAAGACCTATAAGAATTATAATATTATAAGAATGTAGCCATTATAAGTTATGCTCCTTGTGAGCTGCCTGTTTTTTCTTTATGGTTCTTAGTTGTTCTTTTGCAGAGCTGCCAGCTTAAGTCGTGCTGGGATCAAGAAAAATAGGCACTGGCAGTTCATGTTCCTGGAGTTGTATCCATGCCAGTGGATGTCCACACCTCCAGAAGAGAATTTGACATTGCTGCTGCCGTTGTTGCTGTTATAGCAGAGGCGGCCACCGCTACTACTGTTTCTGGGATTACCAATTCATAATTGCTTACTACAGCTAGCACAGTGGAGACCCTGGCAGCAAAAGTAGCTACCACAGTTAGTTTATCTTCCATTCTATTGGGCATGATAAATTTAATTCAATAGTTATATACATTTCGATTGGCTTTGAAAATTATAAATTTATAAACTCAAGTTCCATTTGCTTTTGGGATACCATCTTATAAGGACTCCAATTTGCAGTAAGGCTCATTAAGGAAGGGAATGGCTCAGCTTCTTTTAGCCTATTGGCTATGGGTGGGTTAGGACTTCTGTTGGTTGTTTCTGTGTCAAACACACAGATGGCAAGCCCAGCACCACTTTGAGATCTTTGGCAGCAGTTAACTCTGCAGCTCACACACAATTGAGCCTATATGATAATGAGTATTCAGAGTCGGGTAATGCCTGAGGGGCGCTCACCAACCTAAGACAGAGCACCTGTGTGGCCATGACGGGTAAGGTGACCTGCTGACGTCCCACGCAACCCAAGTCAGAAGCTCAATTTTTAGGAAAAGGGGGACCTGTAGGTCCCTGGCCCCCATTTTGGGTAACTGTTGCTTGCTGACCTTGACCTTGATATCCTCCTATGCTAAATCCCTGCCGATTATTACCCTCCTCGATGCTTAAGGGAAGTTCCGTGTCTGTGTATCCTGCATAATGGGCATTAACAGCTTAGATGCAAGACTGTAAATCATCAGTAACGAACTTCTGCTGTAAGCCTGTATTTAAGATCTCCTCCTTCAATAAAGGGCATTCAGCATTTAAAAAAAAAGCTGAGCCTAATAAACAGGTCATGAAATCAACATCCTTAAAAACAGAAGTATCAAACAGTGAGAGAGCCAGGAGGCTCACTTAGGAGAGTGCTTGCCTAACGTGCAGGAAGTCCTGGGTTACATCTGCAGGACCCCATAATTTGGCCACTGTGTATACATCCGTAACTCGGCCCTTATGAAGCAGAGGCAGGGCAATCAGAAGCATAAGGTGAACTACATGAGTCTGAGGCTACCTTGGACTACGTGAGACTCTGTCTCAAAAAAAAAAAAAAAAAAATGGATCCCAAGATGAGGAGGATGCAATTAAAATGACATCAGAATGTTTCCTGAGACTCTGTGTTCTGTCAAGCAAAAGAACAATAGGTCCAGCGACCAGACACATCCAGTAGAGAAGAAGAAACACAGATCACACCCAGTGAGTAACATCCACCTGAAAACTGACTTGTCAGGCTAACGTCAAACTTAAGTCTTCAGAGTTATAGATGTGTGGAACCTTACCAGAAATACTCTGGTGGTGCTGGCCTCGGAGCTGAGGTTGGGGTTGGAGGTGGTGAGAAGGTGGATTTGTGTCAAGAGCTGCACATGCTGGGAAGGAAAAAAACTGACACTTCATAATGTTGCCATTTCAGAAACACAGATCTTACCAAGAAGTCTGCAAATGTATCACACACATCTTGCTTCTCAGAGGGATTAGAGCAGAGCAGGATCTTGGTGTGAATTTCTGAGATATTTTCCTCAGAACAAAACCACAAACTCAGACAAACTTGAACCTCACACTAGAGAGACTAAGACTGAGAGAGGAAAACGCAACACTGACAGTTACTCAAGTGTGAATTTGTGGTCGAGGACTCTGAATTCCCTCATCCTGAGAATTAGTGAGGTCTTTATCTGTGTTCCTGCTCTTCTCTCAAGGTCTTACAGACTCAGGGTCCTATGGCCCCGGTTTCCACGGGAAGCAGGACAGCCATCTCTGACTTTACAACACTGCTCCCTTTCGGCTTCAGTGTTAAGCTAGGAGATGATGCGATCACACGCAATGAGAAAGTCTTGCCTGCTGCATCTGCTGCTGAAGCCTGCTCCTCTGTGCTGTGTCTAGAATCAGAGCCTGATGGACCGTCTCCTTCTGAGGTTTCAGCCTCTCCACTTCAGGCTGTGGTTTGGAGGAAGATTTTTTCATTTTCAGTTGTTCAAGCAGCTCTTTCACCGTCCGGTGTCGTTCATTTAGCAAGTTGGCCAATGGTTCCTCAAACCTATTCCCACAAGGAAAAAAATCTGTATATTTTCATAGGTCATCAAATTCCTTGTAATGACAACTGAACCAAGCCTGAACAATGTCTATTTACTTTTGAAATTAATTGATTTTCATTTTTTAGAATATACTTAATCTTTTTATATTTTATGTGCATTGGTGTTTTGCCTGCATGTATGTCTGTGTGAGGGGTCAGATCCCCTGGAACTGGAGCTACAGCTGTCAGCTGCCATGTGGGTGCTGGGTGCTGGTCCTCTGGAAGACGAGCCAGTGCTCTTAGCCACTGAGCCATCTCTCCACACCATGTCTATACTTTTGATCTTTAAATCTCACTATAACCAGTATCCATGCTCCTTAAACAAATAATTTCCTCAGACTGTTAGGATTACATTCAAATGAAATAATTCTATTCCCCGAGAAGAGCACATGCCTAGAATGCTTGAAGCCCTGCCAAAGATTTTGAATTATCTTTCACCTTCTTTTGATATAATAACTTGTTTATATGAAACACAAAGAGAGAAAAATTAAATTAAAAAGGAAAAGCAGAGCCGGGTGGTGGTGGCGGCGGCGCACGCCTGTAATCCCAGCACTCGGGAGGCAGAGGCAGGTGGATCTCTGTGAATTCAAGGCCAGCCTGGTCTACAGAGCTAGTCCAGGACAGGCTCCAAAGCTACAGAGAAACCCTGTCTCAAAAAACCAAAAAAAAAAAAAAGGAAACGCAGAGAAACACCTGTGTAACAGACTGCCACAGCACCTGGGCCCTCACCATCCTTGCAAGCATTCTACCAACACATCTACTCTATGACGTCTTCCCAACATGGCGGGCGGAGAAGCTTCCAAAAGCACACCATGTGGTCTCTCATTTACCTTCTACTCCAGCTCTTTCGATTCTGGCTGCCCTTCATTCATTTCTTTAAAAGGGAAAGCCCAGGGTGAGGCTATACTTGCGTTACATGTAGAAAATACTTGTTTTATAACTGAGTTCTGGGTTTCATTCCTAGCAACAAAAACAATAACAGAGAAACCTGCCAAAGCCTTGCTACCATGTAACAAGGAAGAAATGCTAAAACCCACAACAGCCTAGATGAAGACAAAGAGCAGCTAGTTCAAACATTACTATACTACCTCCATGCAAGTATCTTTCACCCATTCAAACTCCTTTCTGGTGTTGCCTGACCACAACTGTGCATCCTGTCCACAACCGTGCTGGCCTTGAACTCACGAACATCAGGTTGATTTATTTTTATTCATGTGTATGAATGTTTTGCCGGCATGTATGTCTATGTACTACATTAAGGTATACCAGTTTTCCCCAAGATTCAAACATACCATCATTTCAGGGAACCTCTCAAGACTGGAAATAAATTACCAAAATATCATCAGGAACTCCCTGAAACTGACCAGATTCACTGGGCTCCTCCTTGCTAGGAGTAAACAACTAGACTGCTGAGCATCACTCTCACACAAGTAAGCTGCAAACAAGAAGCAGAGATCATCCAAGCATTCCAACTGATATGAATGGTTTCCATTTGTGTTGGACATCACTAACATTTTGCTTCAGTATTCCCTTAGCTGCTGAACTGATATATGCTTGGACTGGACATCATGGCCTTCAGAGAGAACCCCTACTCTCTGTAAAAATGTCTCCTTATATAATGCTAACCTTTAGAAGCCTTAAAGATTGGCAAAAGTATTCGGAAGAATAGTAAAATCAGCAAACGAGTTTAAACAAAGATATCCTCAGGACTTAAGGTATTGTTTTGTTTCCTTTAGTTTTTTATTCTTCTCTCATATTTCAAATCCAGACTGCAGTTTGCCCTCCCCTCCTGGACCCCTATCCTTCCCCATGACGGATCCACTCCTCCTCCTATCCCTTCAGAAAGGGCAGGCTGCCCTGGGATATCAACCAAACACGGCATACCAAGTTGAAGTAAGACTAGGCACTTCCTCTCATATTAAAGCTGGACGAGGCAACCCAATAGAAGGAAAAGGGTCCTAAAAGCAGGTAACAGAGTCAGGGACAGCCCGGCTCCCACTCTTAGGAGTCCCACAAGAAGACCAAGCTACAAAAGCATGACATATCTGCTGTGGGATGGTCTGTATGTCAAATTGCTCTGATTGGTCAATAAATAAAACACTGATTGGCCAGTGGCCAGGCAGGAAGTAGGTGGGACAAGGAGAGAGGAGAATTCTGGGAAGCGGAAGGCTGAGGAGAGAGACACTGCAGCCACGACCAGGAGAAGCATCATATAAAGATGACGGTAAGTCACCAGCCACGTGGCAAGGTATAGATTTATGGAAATGGGTTAATTTAAGATATAAGAACAGTTTGCAAGAAGCCTGCCACGGCCATACAGTTTGAAGCAAAATAAGTCTCTGTGTTTACTTGGTTGGGTCTGAGCGGCTGTGGGACTGACGGGTGACAAAGATTTGTCCTGACTGTGGGCAAGGCAGGAAAACTCTAGCTACACATATCTGCAGAGGCCCTAGCTCAGACCCAGGAAGGCTCCCTGATGGTTGGTTCAGTCTCTGTGAACCCCACAGCCCAGGTTAGTTGATTCACTTAAAAGGATTGTGGGTGAAAACTCAGTGCAAGAGGTAGGTTACTGCTGTCTGAGCTAGTCAGTAGTCAGAGATGCCCTTGAGGCTCCATAAACCATAACTGCTGCTAACTGCTGTCCAGAACTACATAGTACATCCCTTTTGCTAAAGACTCTGCATACTTCTGTCACAGGACATACAAAAATCTAGCTGTCACGGCGCTAGAAACAGCCTTCCTGGAGGCTGTCTTTATCCTAGGTCAAAACTACCATGCAGGCTGTTTGTGGAAAATTATCACCAAAGGCGCTGCTCAGCTGTGAAGTCTAATGATACACTATCAGCATGACAGGCAAGATGCTGCTGCTTTTGGTACAACCAATTGCTTGCCTCTTGGATTTAAGACCCAGCCCACAGGAGGGAACTCATGTTAGGTTCTGTAAGCTAGGGCAAAGACTTGTGGCTGTGGAGGTCATAGGCCCCAGGGTCAAGGTAACTGCTCCGTAAACGGACGTGATATACCTGGCAGACCGCCTTTTCACGATGGGTGTTTATGTCTACATGTAAGGTTGTTCATGTGACTACAGGTACCCAGAGGTCACAAAAGGTCATCTAATCCTCTGGAGCGGGAGTTACAGGTGATGGCACCTGACGTGGGTGCTGGCACTGAACTCTGGTCCTCTCAAAGAACAGTCTGAGCTCTCAACCTCTGAGCCATTTCTCCAGACCCTCGGTTTTTGGTTTGGTAACTCGTTTGCTAAGTCCAGGGACCATTTCAGGAGTGAACACAACAGGGCAATCAAGCTCAGATTCCCAGTAGCTGCCAGAAGGAGGGAGATGAAGAAGAGAAAGAATGACAGCTGTGCCCTTTGGAGCCCAGGACAGCATGCTCAGCAATGCACATTAACAAGCAGTCGAATGGGTGTGTCTAAGTGGGTGGAGAACAAGTGAAAACGTCCAGAGAGTCAGCAATCCATGCTTAGGATTGGGCCAGCATCAGGAGATAGAAGCAAGGAAAGGAGAGGGCTGGTACAGTGCTTAAGAGCACTTAATGAACCACTTCCTGTTCATGCAGAAGACTCAGGTTTGACTCCCAGCACCCACATAGTGGCTCACAACCATCTATAACTCCAGGTCCAGGGGATCCAATGCCACCTTCTGTCTTCAGTTCACTGCATGCATGTGATGCTCAGCCATATATGCACACAAAACACCCACCCAAAACAGTTAAATTAAAAAAAAAAAGGGGGGGCAAGATAAGGAAAACTCATGTTTTTTTGTTTTTGTTTTAACTTAGAATACAGCAAAGAGGCAGCTTACTTGTGAAGATATGTAAGCAACTGCCTAAGCTGTCTTCTATATATTTATGTGCATATTTATAGAGGACAGCTTCTATCAGCCTTGGTTCTAGAGGGAATCCCTACCCCCCACCTTTTCTTTTTTTTTTGCTTTTTCAGGAGAGTAGTTAACACAGAAACCATAAGCAGTCGAGCTGCTGCTGTGGTACCTAAGTCTGTTGAATCTTCTGGGCCTGAAGGCCGAAGACTGACACTGCCCTGATACTTTTGCCCCCAGTGAAATCCAGATCCCCATGGAGGACCCCAGGGTGATTGTCCGGATGGCAGGTAAGTCTACGTCATTGTTTAATTAGATTCAGAAGCTACCAGGTCTGTACTACCTGCTTTTACTCCAGGGACATTTATCCCTCTCCGCTTTCTGATGGCACTGACAATTAGGCTACGGACAGCTGTCAGTTAAACAGCAGCAAGCAGAGCAGCTCCTCCTCCAAGGCTTCTGCTGCCTTCTCTGTTCTCTTCGCAAGTAACCAGCCGGCCTCAAGCCTCACTTCCCTAGGGCTACTTGATCTCTGTAAATTCTGAAGGTCAAAGAAAGTATTTTAAGGTATGTAAATACAAGCTGTAAAGGTCAAAGAAAGTGATTTAAGGTATATTAAAAAATGCTTCAGAGTTCGTCCTTCACTATGCTATTATTATACTAAAACTTCAAAAGCTCAGAGTTTTAACATTAATTAATGGATTTCTGATAAGCTGTTAATCTAGGCCCCGGTAAAGCACTGCTACTATTACCATAGTCACAAGCTCAAAATTTTAAATTTCCTCTGGTTGTCTTCTAAGGATAGACATAAAGTGCTTCTCACTGTGCTAAAAACACCTCTGTCCAATTTATATATCCAACCCTCTGGAAAGAGTGTTAATGCCTTTAACCCAGATACATTTCTGGGTGCCCAAGCTTCTACTATGACTCAAAGGTGTGAGTATACTGCCTTTTCTGCAATGTGGATTTCAGTACAGATTACAAACAGTGGTAATTCTAATATATCTAAAACTTTCATCTCTTTCGGTAAACTTTAAAAATTCTTGTGAGGTTCAGGGAACTGACTTAAATCTACCTTTTATAGGTCAAATACACTCCAGATAAATACTATCAAACAACAACCTACGTTTGCCCACCTCTGCCTACTCTTGAGATTAGGAACTACCTACCCTGGTTGGGGCTCCCCTTCCCCAACAACTGTGGGCCTGAAATTTCAAATGTACACCCTGGATAAAAATTTTCCCTTCAACTCCTTAACCTTACCTTCTCTCCCTAGTCTATCTGTCCCAGCAGGTTTCAAATCAACTACACACTGTGCCAGCAACTTGCTAGCTCCAGGTGTTCCCTCAGAATCTGCATCCAGGACGGTTCCAAAGCACCAGCCCAGGCAGTCCAGGCTCACAGACTGGGACAACGAGGCCTGTACTTGCCTGACCCCAGAAGGTCGTGCATAGCCTGCAGAGCCAGTGAAGACAGTCTGCTCTTCCTGGCCTTGGCTAGCATGCCAACATCCCTCGAGTCTTCAGTAACAATGCCCCAGTGTGAGCAAGAAGTAGTCAGGGATGAATATATCATCCCTGATCACTCATTAGCAACTGTACACAAAAAGTCATGTTTCCGGTTCCGACTACATCAGAGCAGGTATTTAACGATTTGCTCAATCAATCCCTAGGAGGAAAGTCAGATGTTAATGACAAACAATGAACACGACTGCTATCTCGACATTGCAGTGGGGAATGGGTCTGTGGCTGGCCTTGTGGAGCTCCACACACTCTCCAGCACCACTTGCATGGAAAGGCTGCTCTCTGTGCCAGCTGTGATCTCTCTCCCTTCCCAAACAGACACAGCTCTG